ACATTTTGTACCTCGACGAAATGCACTGTACACCCTGAAACACGTACACCAGCTGCTAAAACATCTTTATGGGCACAAGCACCTTTAAAGGAGGGTAGCAACGACGGATGCACATTGATTAGCGCACCTCGCCAACGGTTTACGAAGCTATCTGATAAAATGCGCATAAAACCAGCAAGACAAATTATTTCAACTCCAACGGCATCGAGTTCAACATTCATCGCTGAATCGAAAGCTTCTCGGCTGGGATAGTCGGTATGTTTAATAACCTATTATCCAGCATTAAAGGAGAAAATATAAATAATATAGGAACGTGAAATAATAAGTAATTAAGGAGTTAACAAATATTAATTACCACTGTCTTAATGCCAGCTCTTTCGGCTCGCTTAAGTCCTTCAACATTTGGTTTGTTGGATATTACTATGACTATTTCTGCACCGATATGTTGCGCTGGATCTCGAGTCGCATCGATTAGTGATTGCAAATTAGTACCGTTACCAGATATGAGAACACCTACTCTTCTCAAAGGTTTACTTAATCCCATAACGATGTCTGGTACGTATCGTTTCATTTCCAATTCTAAGGCCTCTTCAAAATTTCGAACATTCACCCTGGTTTGATTGTCTACGACATTTTGTACGATTAATACTCGCAACGTGTAAAGATATCGCATAAAAAAAAAATTATATTTAAATAATATTTGGTAAAAGTTACCTTTCTGTTCATTTATATGGCCAATAATCTTAGGATCTTCCGTTTGTAGTTTAAGTAAAACTTCATCTTTATCTCTTTCTGAACAGATTAAAATAGCGCCAATACCACAGTTGAATGTTTTTAACATTTCTTCTTTATTTATTCCACCTAAATATTAATTATTTATGGATACGCATAAATGAAAAGAGAGAGCTTAAATCTCCAATATTAAGACTTATTGGGACAACTACATCGGCACTATGCCAAAGCTCATTAAAATCAGTCAGCAGTGTCCTAACCCTGTTAGTCCATGCGTAAGTTTTTTTTCTCTTACCAATAACTGCTAGCCAACTAAAAATTGGTTGTATTTTCCACTTAGTCGCATCTAATGTTACTCCCATATTTTTTGGTAAAACTCTTGGTACATTTTCTGTAAGACCTCCTCCAGTAATATGCGCAAATGCTTTGATCAAATTCGTTTGCAAAGCGGGGATTACACCTTTTACATAAATTTTTGTCGGTTCCAAGAGTTCGTCGCCTTTATATATATATATATATATATACCAATAAATACAAATAAACTACATTTATGAAGACTAAATAAAACATAAAATAAACAAATACCAAATGTCCGGTTATGTTCTGAGAAAGGTGCTATATCCGAGTATTTTTTATTTGCCAATTTCAAAACTCTCCGAACGAGACTGAATCCATTGCTGTGTACTCCACTTGATGGAAGACCAATCACGATGTCATCAGGCTTTATGTCGTTTACACGTGGAAGTAATCTGTTCCTTTCTACAATGCCTACAGAAAATCCTGCTAAATCGTACTCTTCATTGGAATACATATCAGGCATTTCTGCCGTTTCTCCACCAATCTGAAAATAAAGTTTTTGTTAAATTTATTTTAGTAATTAGTAATTAATTAAATTAATGTATCTGATACTTGATTGAATGTATATGTAGAGAAAAACTTGGTTCATGATCACATTCAATAAATACTTAAAAATCTGAAAATTGATTCCCACTTACTAATGAACATCCAGCTCTCTTGCATCCTTCGCTTACTCCATTTATAACGTTACTAGCTACATCAACATTCAATTTACCACAGGCGAAATAATCGAGGAAGAATAATGGTTCAGCGCCGTGTGCGAGAATATCGTTTACACACATAGCCACTAAGTCTATACCCACTGTATCGTGTTTGTTAGATTCAAATGCTATCTGTAAAAATAAAAAATAAACTGATAAATAACATTTACGAAATTTTTGTTATATTTATTGCAAACGCATTCATACTTTTAATTTAGTTCCAACGCCATCGGTACCAGATACTAAAATTGGGTCTCTGTAACCCGCTGCCTTTACGTCAAATAATCCACCAAAGCCACCAATCGAACCTAATGTACCTAAACGTTGCGTGGAACATGTTGCTGGCTTAATTGCTGAAACTAACGAATCGCCTGCAGTTATATCTACACCGCTGCTTTTATAGGTAAGTTGTCCACGATTCAATATAGATCTGAAAAATATTACTTCGTTAATACTTTTTTATCCGCATACCTTTGTATATAAGGCTCAGGCTTAATAATGTTCCACTCTTTTCCGATAAGGCCTACATTGAACGCACCTTGCAATTCCTTTGTGTGCTATATCCGTTCTGAATTGTTTTCCTTCAAAGGATATGTTTTGAGCAGCTTGTGTTGCCTTGGCAGCAGCTAAAGCCAATGATGATGCTAAACTTACTGTAATTAGTACTCTTCCTCCTAATAAATAAATAACGTTTAAGTAATATGTAAATTATTCATGATATTTCGATATAAGCTTACCATTACCTTACCATTAGTCAAAAATTCTTTTTCGGGAGAAATATCTGTTCCACTATGGAAAATCAAATGATTTGGTTTACACAAAACATTATTGATGCCTGTTATAACTTGGCCTTTTGATGACGACGCTGGGTACCCACGAGATGCCAACACAACGCCAACAGCAAATACATCCTCTTGCCATGTAACTAAAGATTCAACTAACGAACCTTCGCAACAAGCCTAAGAGACAATATATCTCAAATTAATGTTAGTAAAATTGGTATATTAAGCAGTTCTTTAAACTGTGACTCGCCAAGTATTAATTACCTTCATAATCGTAAACAAATCTGATTTTAGCAACGGTAATACCACTTGTGTTTCTGGATCTCCAAATCTGCAGTTAAATTCTAGAACCTTAGGCCCATCTTTTGTTAACATTAGCCCAGCATATAACACACCTGAATTTTTAAACGCAATAAATTTCTGTCATGTTCAATTATTTTCAAAAATTTAACTTGTATTTTAATATATTTGTAGTATAAACGAACCAACAAACGGAATTTGTTCTTCTTTGAGACCACCAATGGTTTTCTGAAGAATATCTGATTTTACTACTTCGTAATCTTCTTGTTGTAATAAAGGACAAGGGCAGTAAGCACCCATGCCACCAGTATTTGGTCCCATATCTCCATTAAATATTCTTTTATGATCTTGCGCTGGTGCCATTGGTACAACAGTCGTTCCTATAATAAAGGAAACCCTAATGTTACTATTATATTAGAATTAATTTTTATAATCTTTTATTAAGTATATTTTATATCGTATACCATCTGTAAATGCAAGCATAGAGACCTCTTCTCCCTCGAGTAACTCTTCTACAACTATTGATTCTCCAGCAGATCCAAACTTTTTTTCTGTCAAAGTTTCATCTATTGCTTTACATGCTTCTTGTTTATCCTTTGCTACAATAACTCCTTTTCCAGCTGCTAAACCTGAAGCCTTTATTACAAGTGCTGGAAATGATGCACTATAATAAATTGTTACACATGTAATAATTTTAAGGAAAGTATCTATGAATACATTTTTATATTTACTTTGTCACAAATTGCTTTGCTTCTTCTGCATCTGTGAATCCTTTCCATTTTGCTGTAGGAATTTCGTATCTATCCATAAATGTTTTTGCCCAGTTTTTGTCAGCTTCAATTCTGGATGCTGCCTTTTGTGGACCAAAGCAGTTGATTCCTATACCTTTTAATTCGTCCGCTAAACCATTGGCTAAATATTCTTCTGGTCCAATGACTACTAAATTTACTTTGTTTTTTTTGCTCCATTCTGCTACTTCCTAGAAAATATATGTAATGTTAGTACAGTTTTATACCATATATGTTAAAAGTAAATAATGAGAATAATCTGAAAAATACCTTATTATTTTTAATATTTAGTTTCACTAGGGAAACCTTATCAACCGTTGAAATTCCACTGTTTCCAGGAGAAACATAAATTTTATTCACCTACAAAACCATTTAAGTTTAACCATATAATTGAATGAATGTATCACCATGAGTTACGTAAACTATGATTACAAGAGTATTAGACTGAGAGTTTTTGCCACTAAATCTTACTTAAATACATAAATGTATCTCATTTATATGTTAATTCGTTATGTTTAAAACACTCACATTTGAAGATTGTGAAAGTTTCCAAGCAATTGCATGTTCTCTACCACCGCCACCGATAACCAAAACTGTGTACTGCATAGTATCTGAAGGATATATCCAAGTATTATACATATATGACAAAATATAGTAAAGAGTAGTTACACTTTAGCGTAATAAAATTAATAATATCGTTAACAGTATTGATTATGTTATCAATGATCGAATAAAAATCATTGTTATAACGCTATAAAAGTGACAAATTGCTATCATAAATATAGTGTCTTATATAATGTAAATTACTATAAAAAACTATAACCTTCGTCTTAGTAATAATTATTTTATATACTTTCGACACAGTACGCACCTTTTCAATTGTTTTTAATCTTCTCTTCGCGTTCTCTTGATAGTAGTATATATATATATATATATATATATATATATATATACATACACGTGCTTCTATTCTTCGGTCGATTTATGATATTTAAAGCATGTATTTGTGTATATACATACCACGTTACTCGAAGCAACAGGTGGCAATGAAGCAATGTACAGATTCTTTAATATCCTTTCGCTTATGTTAATTGAACTACTTGTAACGAAATACTTATTCATGTATCGTCATTTGTGTATATAAAGAAGACTGATTCTTCGCAGGGGTTAATACTTTATAACCCGCGTATCCGATAACTTCTGATCTCTTAGAACGATTCGTGACTTTTAAAGAATACATATCTTTTATTGTGAAACACACGTGTTCGGCAAAAACACATGAACATTGAAGACAAATCAGAAAAATAAATGGAACTTTTTCTGGAACAAAAGAAGCGTACAAAATATTCTTTCTTGCTTATAAAAATAGACGGTTACAATATAATACTAATTGGCTTCGTATCGAGAGTGGGTCTTTTTTTACATCGCTTAAAAAACTTTCGTTAATATCACACCTAGCAGTTATAAATAAATAAAATTGGTTTCAAGTATTTATAAATTTCTATGAGTGTCAATAGAAATGGATTTTTGCGCAAACACTAATTATATTTATAAGAATACGAAAGTTTTAAACAATAAAAATCTTGAAAATATGTTTACAAAGAGATAGTAGGAAATATCGGTTGTTACAGCAACACTTACGTCAAATACTTGATACATATGATGCTTTTGTGTACATTCTAACAAAATAATGATACTGTAAGCAATAATAAATAGACATGTCGAACAAATAATGAACCTCTTGGTTCGGTAATTCTATTTACGGTAATTCTATAAATCGTACTAGATCCTAGTACTTTTATTTCAAATATAGTATTGTACATTGGTTATATAAAAATCTAATGTATCGGATTGGAGTTGAATACAGTTGAATGCAATTGAATTGATTGACTCCTACCAGAGAGCGATCTAAATACATGTTTGAGAATGAAAAATTTCTAAACTCACCCGCTCACGAAGCGGCTTAGCGAGCAGTAATCTTTCTATATAAATGTACTCATTTTGCAATCGATTTGAAATTGATGCAAACGATGCAAACAACGGTGAAGTTCTTTTGAACGATGATAATTTGTTTCTATCTAGTAGGCGAAGAATTGTGCACTATCGTCATCAAACGTAATGATCGAAAAATGAAGCAATTAAAACATGTCCTTGTAACCTGACATATCATATCTACGAATCTTCTTCAGAAATATTTATTACAAGCATGTTTAATATCAACATCATCGGTCGCTCGAGGCAACTTTGGCCTTCTACAATTTCGTCTGTTTGTCGAAGCAATCATCGATGCCATAGATTTATGTTCACTGACAAAACGGACAAGAAACCGACCGAACAAGAAAACATTGTCGATTCCCAAATCGCTGTTATAAAAGAATGCAAAACACCTCCAGAAGTTAGCAATTGAAAATATTTTATTTCAGTTTTTGTTATTGGGAAAATTCAAATTCGCCATAAAGACTGATATTTTCTACATTTTTCATATATTCTTCCACTATTCCGTTCCCTTTCTATTCCTGAAACCTTATATCCTTGAACCCCTTTTACTAATACTTTTAGTTACTAATAAAAAATATGTAGGAACGGAAAACAGAGGAGAAACCGAGACTCCAAACAGTTCGGGTATATCGTTGGAATCCAGAAAAGTCAAACGTGAAACCATATATGCAACAATTCACGGTGGATTTAAATAAATGCGGTACGATGGTTTTGGATGTGTTGGCGTTAATAAAGGCACAACACGATCCCACTTTGTCTTACCGAAGATCGTGTCGCGAAGGAATCTGTGGAAGTTGTTCGATGAATATAAACGGTGTCAACACCTTGGCTTGCATCACGTAATATGACATCATGAAAATACGTTACTGCTTTAAAATTATTTATACTTGCTCGATTAACGCCAACTATCTAAAAAATTTTAATAAACACGAAAGAAAATGATGTATTTGTTTTTATTACCATGAAATTTGATACATTCCTTCTTTGCTACCAGAAAAGTGACACAATCACCGAAACCAATAGTTGTATATCCTCTACCGCATTCGTACGTAATTAGAGATCTGATAACGGACATGGAAGAATTTTTAAAACAATATCAAAATATCGAGCCATTTTTAAAGCGTCCAGGGGAAGAAAACTTTCTTGGTTTACGACAGATTTTGCAGAGTCCAAAAGATAGAGATAAACTCAATGGCTTGTACGAATGCATACTTTGTGGATGCTGCACTTTTGCCTGTCCACCGTATTGGTGGCTTGGTGATAAATTCCTGGGTCCCGCAACACTTTTGCAGGTATACTTCAAAGAAACATAAATACATTGTCGATTTCAACGAGTAACATATTAGATAAAGATTGAGTATCTCTAGGCATATAGATGGATAATCGATTCGCGCGATATGGGACACAAAGAAAGACTCAGCAAATTGCGAGATTTTTATTCGGTCTATCGATGTCACACCATTTTCAATTGCACAAAGACGTGTCCAAAGGTATTAAATGTTATCTAAAAAAAAAAAGAAAAAAAAAAAAAAGAACCTACAATATGTTCAAAAAATTTGTATTTCATTATTGCATCGACAATTTTCCAAAGGGTTTGAATCCTGGAAAGGCAATAGCCCAAATAAAGCGATTGTTAGCTGGACTTGCTAAAAAAGAACGACCAGAAATGGAGACTCCACTTCCAAATCCTTGCAATGGCGAAGAAATATACCAATGCAAAGAAGAATAGATATACGAGAGAGAAAAAATGTTCGAGGTCGACGAAATATTATTTCTGGGATACTCGCAATTGTATATAAAACGGACTTTTTTCGATTAAATACAAGTTCTTATATACTTTCAAGTTGGACATCATTGAATTTCATTCCATCAATAAAATCGTATAAAAAAGGGGTACATAAAATAGTTGACGAATGTTTAATGACCAGAAGTATATAAAGTACAAAAATAATTTCTTAATATTATAACTTAAACAACATTTTGGTAATCATCTCGGATACTGTAGTTTCATTGTTAAATATTTTTGTAACTAATGTTATTTTTAGTGACGCTATGATTGTACTAGCAAGGTAACTCAATAAAAAATGGAATTACTTTTAATTTCACTTTTTACCAACTTAATGAATTACGTTAATTTTTTACGATACATCTGTGAACTTATGTTTATTTTGGAAATTAATCACGTTATATCATAAATATATTTCTCAATACATAACAAATAGATTGAATCTCACTGTTTCTAAAACAACATTATGAAAAAGTCTATGATTGTGCAAAAGTACAAATTTCTAATATTTTATCTTGTAAATACAGTATTGGAAAATAAGAAATTTCAAGTAGGTAATTCTTATAATATATATTATTTGTACTTAAGTATCCAATCGCGCTCGTTTTCTTAAACGTTGGTATTTTTCATTCTTGTATTGGCAATTGCTGGGAATATTTGAAGGTATTATATTTTCCTCGTTATCTACTGATAATAAAATGTCCATGGTATCCCGGAGTTCGCGATCCTGCAACCAAGGATGTAACAAAACTTGCTTTATAGTAATCCGTTTTTTTGGATTGGTGGTCATCATGCGCTTGATCTAAAAAGTAACATTATTAAAAACTAAATACACATTTCTCATTATAGAACTGTATTAGATAACATCGTGCTTATACCAAATCTATAGCTTTCTCTGAAACGTGTCCAAATTTTGTAACAGGAAAACTGTAACATCCTCTCATTATTTGATCCTGCAAACTAGAATTTTTGTCGTGGCAATTAAAGGGAACAGAACCACTTAAACAAGCATACAGTATTACTCCTAGACTCCATACATCTACCTAGTAAAATTGAAAATGTTATAAACTATATATTCTTAAATAAATTAATGCGTGAATATACGCTTTAATGTACACACTTGATTCGTATAAGAACCACGTCCAGTACTAAATAATATTTCCGGTGCAACATACATAGGAGTTCCACAGAATGTTTTCATCATGGTTTGCGCGTCAACCAATTTTGACAAACCAAAGTCAGATACTTTAGCTAATGTAACGTCCGAATCGCTAGCTAGTAATATGTTTTCTGGCTATAAATTGATAATATTCATTTACTGTTTCTTCTTAACATAAATATATACATTTACTCAAGTAATACCTTTAAATCCCTATGAGTTATACCAGAGTCATGAAGATAACTAACGGCAAGTACAACTTGATAAAAAATTAATTTCGCAGTCTTTTCCGACAATTTGCCTCTGCTCTTTATTCTTTCAAAAAGTTCACCGCCCTCCATTAATTCTAGAACTATATATACTGCTTTCGGACTATCCACGATTTCTTCCAATCGAACTACGCAAGGCTGAAAATAAAATATTTGTTAATACGATATTATTATTTCTGTAAATGTGCAAACTTACATGTTTCAGAGCTTTTAATATTCTAACTTCGTTCATAATTTTCTCAGGATCGTTTAAAGGATGTCTCTGACCATTTGTTCCGTCGCCTAATTTCATGATTGTTTTCATGGCAAACTTTTTACAACCAACCTTGGAAAACACCAATTTTACCTCCCCGCATGCCCCAGATCCTAATTTACGCGACACAGCATATTTGCTTCTCAGTTCTACAGGTAAATCGTTGCACTCGAATGCAATAGTGCTCATGAATACATATACTGTTAAAAATAGGGAGAAGATGTTTTAGCTTACTCTATAAGAGATGATTTAACATGTACTATAGATACTGAATTTACAGATATGACAGTACTACTACAAGTATAACATATAAAGTATAAATATATACCAGAAACGTGAGATTGTGCTAAAGATATAATATCATTGCTTTCAAGTACGACCTTCTTTCCTCTGCCCACTTTCTTTTTGTTAACAAATGTTCCATTTTGACTCAAGTCTTCCAAGTATATTACGGTATCCTTATTATTTTCATTAATAAATTCCCTTGTTATCCTAAAGTGTATTTTACTTATAACACTCAGCCATTTTGGTTTTAATTCGTTTTCAGTTATAGGTATATCGCATTTTTCTGACCGACCAAGTGTATAGACGTCTCTGATCATTTCTACATAAATAATTATTTATATTTAAGCATTATCAAGTACAAAAACGCAAACTATATTCTCGAGTCATAATTAAACGTATATATCTTAGAAATTGTACAGATATAAATATATTTACCAACTGTTTTGAAAGCTACAGGAATTGGGCATAATCTCCCCCACACAATCATAGTTTGTTCTTGTGATAATGCTTGAGACTGGGTTAAACATACTGAATCCGTACTCTGAGTATCGGGTAAAGTTAGAACAATGTGTTCATCGTTCATAGTTATAAATTAATTGGTTCAATATAAACCAACAAATATTCGTGGAACACGTTTAAATTTCCGATACCAGAACAATAAATCGCGATGAAATCCACCGTGAACGATACTAACCCATAGCATACGATTTCAGCCTCGTTTCTTATTCGATTACTTTTTAAAGCGCGATAAACTTTATTGATAAGTGAACAGGAATTTTTCGACGATTCAATTATTTAGAAAATTATATGAAACATACAAGAAATGTAACGTTAAATTGCACAACTTTAGGCTATAACGTAATTTACGATGTCAACACGTTCTTGAAATCACGGCTGATCGTGGCTGTAAAGTTTCCAAACTTCACTTTCACGACTGTGTTTCCATGACAATAAACAAAGGCAAACCAGCGGTTGAACCGCTATTTAGTAGTATTACTATTTATCGAATACTAGTTTATAAATGTTTCCCTTTACAGATTCTTTAATTGTGTACGTTCGAACAAGTCAAAATTCTGATGATAGAATACGCATTCCTTTTATAAAATAAAATCTTTAATTTTGTACAGTATACAGGATGTGCCAAAATTGATGGTCCAAATTTTTGATACGTACATACAATACATTTTCGAATTATGAGGCATTATAAGGTGGAGGCAAATTTTATTTCGACACATTTCTGCTTATTTCGACGAGTATTATATACATTCAGGGTTTGAATGATCGATTTTAGCATACCCTGTATAATTCGAATGCTTTTGGAATGTCGATAAATCAGACATCACCTGTATCTACGTGGTTTAAAATTCATGTCACATATTGTAATGCATTTTAGATGATAATAAATTGTACAATTAATTATACATGTGTCACATTTGATCAATAATCAATAATAAGATATAGCATCACATTCATTCGTCTTAATCTTTGTTCTTTTATCAGTGCTTCATTCTCTTTTAAATGCTGAAACTTCTATTCTGTGTTGTCTTCTTCTGCATCTCATTTCTATATACTCAGTTTATTGACTATTAAGTAACAATTTATAAGTTAAACCAATGATATTGGATTAAAAAGAACTTATATACGAAATAAAGCAAATTTTATTAGAGTATGTTCTAATCTGTTGAAAATAAAGCATTATCAGCTCTTATACAAAGGGAAATAGTTAAATCACGGTATAAAAAGTGATTACTTTGTTTCAGTGATAAGTATTAGAAAATATTTTGTTATATCATATAGCATTTGTCGAGTTGAACAAATGTGCGAAAACAGGTTCAATGTAATAGACATGTTTCACCTCGTAAAATTTAATTGGCAATATAAAATTGTATGTAGTTGAACAAAAGAATGTTTTAAAGTTAAACACATCCATGATATGGAACCGCAAGTTTCGATCTAATAGAAAGTTAGGATCAAATAATCACTTTACAAAACTGACACAGGTCGAAAGAAAATGTATACAGTCATTGTAATGTGTACCTAATCTTATGTTACGTTTACTAGCTGTAATTAATGGTATATTTCTAATAATATCGTTATTAGCATTATTATCACTTTAATTAGAATTCGTTATTTTGGCAACTTACGGTTCGTTAGAAATTTCACATATCTTTGTATAGCCGTGATTGTACAGCTTAATCGATATAATCTTTGCTGCGGATGTCACAGTTAATTCACATATATTTTGTTTCCATTTTTTACTGGCATTACATTAACGATTGTAGCATATATGTACCGTGTATTCGACTTTACAAAAATTTATTACGAAAGTAAGAAAATACGAAACGACACTAAGGAATTATTATTCAATGATAAACGTAAACATTTTAAATTACAGGATTTCTGATGTAAAGGGTAGGTCTAGCTCTTGAGCAGGAGGGACAGGGAAGTTATGTTTGTAACTATTAGTATTAAGGTAATAATCGTACAGATGATGTTTTTTTGCTTTATGTATACGTGTAAATTAGTTTTTTAGCTGTTTATTATGTAAAAGGTGAGCTGCATGTATTTCCTTTATGTTCTTCGTATCAATGGATGGTACGTCAGTGGCGGTGGTATAAACTTGATAGAGGCGTGCGAACTTATCTTTTATTTTCACACATACTCTCTGTCTCCCTCGCACTGCATAAGGATGGGTCAGGCTTTATCCGTTTTTAGTGGCACTGTGATTCATTAGCTTAATGCTGAGCATCGGTTTCTTTTTTACAGTGCTTACGGCTTCCCTACATCAATATGCCAAGAGAATGATCGAAATGCAAAGAAGAAATATCGAGATTCACGTAACACGTACGTCGTGAAACTTACCAGAATTAAATAAGTCTTTCCATTTGAATATTTATTCATCTCCTACGAACACTCCTCTTGGCTTTTTCTGACACACCTCGCCACCTTTCTCTTGAATTCTGTGTAACTTTCCCTCCACTCTTTCTGTAGTATTCAAACAATTATTGTTAGTAAGCGAGATAGTTATTTACAATAGCATTAACCTTACCACTTTAATGGTTCAAATGGGAAGGACAGTTGGCATTCTAGAGCAAAAAATATTTGTCTATCACTTAATGATTATGTCTTGAAAAGTCTCGATAAGTTGACAACAAATATTGTTTGTTCCGAGACACTTGATGACATACCCGCTTCAACATAAAATAGGCAAAGTTGTTGCTATTGTAAATAATTACCATAAATAGCATTTGAATACTAAATAAAAATTAATTTTTATAAACACATATAATGTTACTTACGGCAGCATCCACATTAGCAGGACTTTCATCATTAGGATCTGCAAGCATACTAATAACGCTTATGAGGATAGTCTCGACTGTGTGAACTGGTAACCACCGTTCCGATGCTTTTTCGTAGCCCCACTTGTCATCTCCAGGTTCGTGTAAAATCGATATGCACACATTACCGTTTTTTTCGACTATAAATACAACATAGTATTATTTCTATTTCTTTTCTTCGAGTAGGTTCTAAAGTTTAGAGAGAAGTGACTTACTGTTTGGATGCCATATTTCTGTTATAAATTTCATTCTTGGTGGCCTAAGTGGATACTCCTTTGGAAATTCTAAGTGTGCTTTGAAGAACCCACCTTCACTAAAAGGTGAAAAATACTTATAAAATTGCATGAAATTATATAACTTGTATTATATTTGATTGTGAATAAATTAATTTCTTACTATAACGTATCTGGAGGTCCAATAATGAGTACTTCCCACTGATATATGTCATTGTCATCTATGAGGCCTGCTGAAAACCCTTCTACTGGGTTTTTATTTAGTTCTATACAAGAATAGAAGAAAACCTAAGCGAAGCACTTTTGTCGATTGTATTATATTAAATATGTGCTTGAGAATATTTTCACTTAAAAATTATAAATACATAAAATGCAGAGTAATAAAATGTAAAAAGACTAAAATTATATGTTTTCAAACAAAAGAAAGCACAAAATGGTTGAAACTAGCGATGCACAAACTTCTCTTTCATCAAGTTTATCCATCACATAAAATAAAATAAAATAAAGTTAAAGACAAATTTAGAAACCTATAATAAAGAGGAATAAGAATAGAATTGTTGTAATTGAACAATTTAAAAAGAAATGACGTAATAACAGTTTATAAAAAATATATACTCCAAACTCTTAACTAAATATTTCAGAGATAATATATACTTTCTTCCTAAATACATTTGATAAATTCTCGATTGAAATTTTCAAATTGCAGACTCCGATGGAAAATTAGATTAGCAATTAGAAATAAGGTGATAGAAATGAAAATCTGAATTCTACTATAAAATTTGCAACAATTTAAGAATGAATGTGTCTTTGCACATTTCTTCAACTTCAAGAAGCCAGTAGAACACAGAGTGTCTGACTAAACTTTAATAATAAATTTTACACTAGTTTTTACCTTACCCGAAACTTAACAAAACGAAATAATGATTACATTTTATGTGGACCAATAACGAAAGAGATTATGCAGCACTTGTTTAAACGTACGTACGTACGTACGTACGTACAATACGTACAATACGTACAAACGTACATTCGTTAACACTGAAAAGATTAAAAGAAAACGATTAATACGGGATTAAAGTTCATTTGCAGAAACGACAGAACACTTTTGTTATTCGATGCGTACAGGTTAGGTTAAATCGACCCGTGCTAAATAACCGTCAGCAGCCACGAGTTAACGACGGTGAGTCAACGTTGATATGATATTTCACGTAAAAATTTCAATAGGAAGCTCGCGATAGCATTGATCGTAGAATGAAAAAGGAAATTTAAGCGTGGAGAAAAACGATATAATCAACGGAGATGTTTTATGGCGTGAATCTTATGTGAAAAGTGATCGAGTATGGATTGAAGAAAGCTGACCTTCGGTGGTCGTTGCACGGGCATGATTTTCTCTGTTTTTTTTTTTAGTTCAAACCGCGTTGTGCACGGTGTGACGTGCGAAATGCTATAAATAACATCGCTTGCGATTATTTTCGGTAACAGCAAAACCGGTCTTCGCTGTATGCGAAAACGGCTTCTATCAGGACTAAGAGATTATACTCGCGGGGTAAACGCGATACTGAATGCTAGGTTAAAGTTATTCATGGGAGGTACACTACGGTTCCGCGTAGCCGTATTGATTTTCACGCCCTAATCGGGCGCAGAGCCACCATGAGATAACGAAAGGCTTAACCGGTGCCCAGATAAAATTACGAAGGTCTCAGTGAGGCTGATACCGCGGGAAAAAAATATTCACAAAGACAAATTCGAAGGTCGAGACACGGCAGCGACGAGATCGCACGAGTTTGGAGTACGAAAACGGTTCCGGCTTTTTCTCGAGCTCGAATGCGCTGCACGGATCACACTTAGCACTTATACGTTTATTTACTGGGTACCTGCTAATTGTTTTCGTAGTAGAAGCGCGGACTGTGGCTCTGACATTAATAAAAGTTCCGTTAAATAAGACTAAAGCTGAAAACAATCACTTTTGCTTGACTGGAAAGATGGCTAGGTACGTCGCGGAAGCAATGATTGCGCATGCGTCACTGCTAAAACATATGTTCTTCCGTCTCTCTGTGCGCCGGCCTGATCAAACACCTGCGCTCTCTGCTGGAAATTTAACAAATATATTGCAGCACGGATTACTTTTAGTTATCGATAAGCAATATTTGTTATTGGTCCAGGATAATGAAATATGTATGAAAATTCGTAGCAACGGTTAATATTGTAAACAAAAAGAAATCACTTTTACATTTGTAATCTGCAAGCACAAATTTATCATTTTTTTAATTCATTCGTAATTATGAATTATTCTTCGTGCTTTTGTTTGTAAGAAGTAGAAGATAGAAAAATGAACACAAGAATGAAAATTACAGGATCTTTCAGCACATTTCGTTATCGAACGAATTACTTAGTTACTGTGTCTCCTACTGCATCTTCTTTATTGTATTTGAATTTGCAAATGACAAATTCTGCGAAAGGAAGGATTTATATGTTACTCTGGATCAACTGATAAAAATTCAGAATTATTCTTAAGATGCCAAACAAGTACGCTTAAAATTTTTAAATTGCGATTTTCTCGAAATGCATTATCATACTTTTACTAAAGTGTGAAAATGAGTGTATAGATTTATTAAAATATCAAATATATACAGTTTATGATTTTATTGTAACATATATTGCACAACAAAATAATAATTTATGCATTCATTTTTACGTAAACCTTAGGTTTGGAAAAAACCTTTATACCTTCTTCTAATTTATTTAGTTGTTTTTCTATTTCCGTCTTCCGTTGTTGTGCCCTGAGGGTATCTGTTTTTATAGGCATCATATTTAATTCATTCACGTAATCTTGATAACCTGTAATGTCGATAAAAAAATTGTAATAAGAGAAAGAAACGTTATTGTAAACGATTCTTTAATTGCATACTCTTCTTCAGTATCTGCAATGTTTCTTTGCGCTCATGTTCGGGTAAATGAACGTGACCACTAGGACAATCAGGATCCAATTCCTCTGCTTTGGCCTTTAGTTCTTTTTCTTGAGCTTCCTTTCTGGTTTTTATATACCTAATAAACCAATAATTTGATCATAATAAAATAGCGATCGAATCTTCTGAATTACTAGCATTATATTAATGAATTTGGACAGAAAATGGGTTTGTAATATCATACTTAGGAACAACACCCTTGCGATAATTGGCTGGAGGAACATTATTACTGTTATTTAGTCGTGTCGCTATTTTACTAGCTACAGAAGTACATTTCTTATTTAATTTTGCAACATCTACTTCCGCTTTAGATGGAAGTAATTCGGAACCTTTTGAATTATTTTTATTCTGTAAACCTTTATCATAAACTTTAACATCCCCTTGATCTAAAGGTGTATTTGTTGTATCTCTTAAAGCTTTATCATTCTGCTGATTTGGTTCATTTTTATTTTTCGCATCGTTATTGTTTAAACATTTCTTTGAAGGGTATCTGTAGGAAAATTGTGTCAACATGAAATATAAAACGTTACAATTATTCTTAATGCGTACCTTATCATCCCATCGGAATATAAATTATCCATTTCCTTTGCATCCAGTGTTTGGATACCTTGATTTCTGAATTTACTTTGTACATTTCTATTGTTATCGGTATGTTTAGTTAAATCACACGACAAATTAGGGTCTGATGAAACTTTCTCATTTGTTTTCTTTGCAGATTTATGCATATTCTTACACTCTTTTCGTTTTTGTTTAATCGACGAATGATTGTTTCTGGTTGGATGTAGCGTATTCCTTGTAACAGTTGTAACGGTAGTTTTGTTCAGCATCGATGAATTGGATTTTATATACGTTTTTGGTTGCTGATCTGTTTTGTTATTAACGATTAAATTTATATCAATGCATTTATGCTTCTTTACCTGAAGATTTGAATTCATTTTTGATCGAATATTTTGATATTTATTACCAATGCTTTTTTGTTCGTGTATTCGTAGTCTTTGCACTTTTTCTGCTTCTTTATTTGTATGCAAACATTGTTCCATACGACGGAGATTCCTTACATTTTCGTGTATGAAATCTTTTTGCTTTACTGGTTCTAAGGAAAATATAACAATTATTAAAGATATAATTATCGCTAAAAATTAGTCACATAATTATATCTTACTTGGATCGGGGAAAACACCTTTTAACGTTGTCATATTTACAAAATAAAATAATGCGATACTTGTGACGAAAAATTATTCACTAATTTCGCTGTTAATTTACGAAACAAAAGCGTAATTTACATTTTAGTAATAAACAAAATTGTCACATTAAATGGGAATAATATTTTCAACTGGGTAATTTTTAACGCACAATTTCAATTTTCTTGCGATCATCGTTACCAAACAAACAATGTTGTTTATACACAAAAACTCGTTCCACAAACTATACTAACTATAGTATTGACAGATAAAAGATAACCACTATTGTAGATACATAGGTATCTTGTCCAGTTTTCATAGATTAAGATAGACTAGATTAGGTAATCATCATAAATCTTGTGAAATTCGAAAACACTTGATTGACTGATTGTAAAGGGAGATGAAGGAATATTAAAGACGTGTGAGTATAAAACTTTCAAGTGTTGCACATAATATTGTTACATCCAAGTGGTTATTTACAATAGAATCAAGCAAATTTTTGTTGGTGAATTAACTAACTTCAAATTGGAACTGTTTCGATCAGTAACGAAATAGGTCCTGCTCCTGTCACTAGATGACACTACCAATTATGAATTTTATTTATAAGGGTGCAAAGTCGTATCCAATCTTACATTTATTCGTTCATTATTGCTTTACATTACTTTGTATACGCGTTACTTGGTTATTCTCTGATATATCCTGCCAGTAGTTTGTTAGGGCTCACTGGCCCCCTTATAGCTTGGGTACCTCGAGTTTCCTGAAATCGTACTGTAGCTAGGACATAACTACAGGCCTCGAGGATAAATGCCACCGATTATTTTAACTGATTATATTTTGTACACTTTTGAATGATCGAGCGAAAGCAAACACTCTTCCTTTATATACAATTCAAAATAATCTTAATAATTTCTCATTCGATTATCGTACACATATATATTTATATTACATCAACATTTACTTCATTAGTAAGAGATTTTTACATATTTTACATTTTTGGTACATAATTTAAAAAAGCATAATCTTATTACTGAAGAAAAAGATCGAAATTATAAAGTTGTGTAGTTTTATGGAAGAGTACTATGTGGTTTATAAAAAAAATTACAGTATCTGCCGTAAAACAGGATAGTAAGTCCATCTAGCGTTTCAATACAAGAACTAAGAAGATCATTCCATTGAGGATATATCCAAGTCGAAAGTCTTTTATTGTCAAAGTTAAAGACTTAAAAAGAAAGGAATAATGTTATTATTTATACATAAATAGTAACATGTATTCCATTGTATTTGTATTCGTTCAACGTGTAGCTTCCTACTAGCATGAATTTGTCGCGGTCACGTGGTTTTGTTTACTCGCCTTTTTAATTTTACATTCAACAGACGTTACAGTAATTATGCGTAGAATTTACTATGCTCTTTAAATAGCTTAATTTATACAAACATTTGTTATTTTACAAGTATGATGGAATGAAATACATGTGTTTAGTTTTAGTTTCAAGTTGCAACTATGTACATAGTAATTTCTTCCTTCTTTCGAATCAAAGATTATAGATACATACATAAACAGAAATATAAAAAGTTTATTCGAAAAGGAGATTTTTGTTTTGACATTAATTGTTTGAAGACTAATAATGTATTATACATGTTCCAGTTTTTAGTATCTGTATAATTGTATGTTGTTATTTCATCGATTGGAAATGTTACTGACAACGGGACGAGTAGATTTAAAAGTTTGACATTACCAGAATCTATCCTTCAAATTTACCGATGACAAAACGTTAAATTACATAGTGTATATTTGTTTTGGTCTAAAATTCACATTTTCTACTGAAACATAATTACCGTTTATTTATATGTATGTATATGCTTGTTAGAGATATTTCTCGCGATAGATGATGTATCTTCGAAATACCAGGTACTTACCGCAACATGTGAAAATAATTGTATCGTTTAACATCAGACAATTCGTTCGTTCGACATATATCGAAGTAAAATAAAGGAAAAAGAAAATAATACTGCAAAGAATTCAGCATAGTCGATATTTTCTTCTCATTGAATTCGTTACAATGTAATTTTTTGCCTCGTTCTTTTGTTTCTAAGATTTTATCAAAAAACTTAAAAGTTTCACATGATTAATTATTGTATGTATTAAATACAGGTTCAAGTATACCAGTTATATGTAGGCCTGCTGCGTTTGTGTATGTATTATGACTTTTGTTCGTGTGTGAGCGTTAAGTTTACATGTAAATGTGCAACAAACGTATGTTGCTATGCATATGTTATACATATACATGGTAAGAAAATGAAACATACATATATTTGATTCGTAAGAAACATTATTGGAGACTAGAGAAAACTTTTTTCATTAATAAAGTTTATTCTATAGCTTGTAATTTCGATTTTAAGCAACAAATTGGAAAACAATGTTTCGTTGTTTATATAAAGAATACTTCTTTTTCTTGGCCATAAGAATATTGAAATCTAGTTCGATAAGGATGACGTATATAAATTGTACACTTTTATACCTACGGTTTTACCTTGAAACCGTTTCTCGTAAAAGAAAATACATATATACATATAATATTGTAGGGAAAATATACACCGTTATACGTAATTTATATTTAATTAATAAGTTTACTAACTTTAAATTATACACAAATACGTAAATTTATTGCTATAACGTTTCATACACCATCCTCGACGCAATTCCTGTTGTTTATGAGGAAGATCGTGACTATGCTGACACGCAGGGGCAATAAAAAAGATTTACTGTTTGTTCAAAGTGCAACTCCCTAATTCTTAGAATGACTTTTTTTTTTTTTTTTTTTTTTTAAACATGCATAATAATATTCCGAACTCTACAGTGCATAATTATAAAAGCACGCAGAGTTGAAAATATTATTATGTAATACTTTTGGCCTATGTAAGAATTCATACTTTTTTTCGAGAAATTTATTTCACCGGAATAAATTACCAGAATTTTTGTGCAATGAAATTTCTGTGAAAAAATCTCACTCTTTGGATAAAAATTTCTTTTCGATATATGCATTTGATAATTTTATGAACGATACGCTTTCAAGGAATTTTTATTATGTACAAATGCAATATTGTTTGTATCACAAAACATACAAACACTGCTTAGTGTAGATTCGTTTCGGTTCTTTTTTTTTGTTTTTTTTTTCTTTTTAAATATAATTACAAATAATCTCAGATGCGACTTTATGTAATAAATGCTCGTTAAATGATTTCTTCATTCTTTTATCTTTCCTTTCCTTACTGAACGATTTAGTTTTCTAACTTCTGTCATCGTGGAAAAACAATACTTTTTACATTTAAAAGAAGTGTTCTTTTTTTGTAAAATCTACTGGCCAAAGTATACTTACTTTTTGTGCCCAAAAGTAGTATGCATAATTGTCATTTTCAACTACGATAAAGTATTACATTAATATTATGAAATTACGATTGTTATTTTTAAGTAAAATTTCTGTACTAACTGGAAATTTTGTGCTCTATTGTAATCGAGTTTCGAGGCATACCAAAAAAGGCGGTACATGCGTCTCGTGTTAATTTTTTAACTTAGACAATTATGCATACACGTCTTTGGAAAAAAATTAAATGAATTCATTCAGTCTTCGACCAATGAATTCATTCAGCCTCTTCCAATTTTTTTAGTTTACAAAAAGTACTTTCTCGCAGAAGGATTGAAAAGTATACGTTTCTTTTTTTTCAGACGTCGAGAAATTAAAAAAATCATAAGAGAAGTAGGAGAGGGAAGCGGGAACGGTTGGCTTTTAAAATAGAAGCGATGGATCTAGTAGTAGACTCTGTTCAGACTTGTAATGTATTCTCCTCTGACCATACTTTGCCAATCACGTTGGTACTGAATCGTCAATACCGTGCCCACATTGTACCAACAACTTACAACATTTTAACAACTCTCTGTTACTCCCAAAAGCTGCAGTACGTCGACAGATGCGACTATAATACAAAGCAAGGGCACTTGATAAAATAACTTAGTCTTCTATTTCATAATTATCTATATGTAACGTACATATATAAAACAAATTATGAATAAAGAAATAATAATCAGGTCGGTACAGTATTATGATTTTTTTCACCTTAAAAATTTTTAACGCCTGATTATACAAATAGATATATATCACGAAAATGTAAGATCATAGTTAACGCGCCGAAGTCCACTCTCGAAAAAGAAAAAAAAAAAAAGGAGCCACTCGATTAGGAAATTTCGGATTAAAAATGTACATGTGCATGGGGCATATAATAAGCGGTGGACTACGATTCTAAACGTTTCTCTTTCATTTGGGAGCATCGCGATTCATTTACGTTTTTTTTTTTATGTTTTTATATTCAAACCTTAGATCAATCAATCCAGTATAGATAAAGCCCACTCGTTTCAGAATAGGAACAACCAACCAAATCTCCTCGTGTATGTTAATCGTTATTAGTCATGATATCAGTAATAATGTTAATATTTGAATAAAGTAACATGATGTGCAGTCAAATATTCATGGAATACTTGGCTGCACGGAGGTCATGCGAGGATCCACCACAGTTATCTTCCCACTGTCAATGCTGTCCTGTTCTTTACACCATATATATATATTATATCGGATTTATTAGTATATATATATATATAGTATAAATATATACACGCACGCTAGTTTTAACAATCTTTCGTCACATTCATTCATACATACATAACTTCAGAAGAGAGGAACGTCTCCGCGAAAGCAAAGTCCCTCTTAACTGCTTTGACGTGCTCTGCCTCGGATATTTTCGCTTCCGTTGCTCTTTATTCACCGAGTAATTCACTTCCAATGATTCCCGTTGCCGCACTCCTTTGTTTCTTTTTCTTCTTAATTTGAACTTCACTTAATTTCACAATGACTTATCACATGTTTTTTTTTCTGTTTCTCTTTAAACACTATTATCAAGTCAGCTCACTGTTTGATACAAGGAACGATAATACAATTGAATATTTACGAACACAACATTTTTGTCATGCTGAATAATGTAGCTTGTCTCGTAGAAAGACGCAAGCTCCTGGACTTGCGGCGACCAGTCTCGCATCTCTCGCAATGTTTTATATAGTCGGCCTGTAAGTATAGTTTGTAGAGATGGTGGAGATGGTAGTGATAGTGGTAGTGGAGTGGTAGTGGTTATCGTGGTATTGGTGATGGTGATACTATCCGGGTTTTTACTATTTACAGTTCGTTATAGCAATCGCTATTTTCCTAAGATGAGATGGTGTGCAATTCAGTGTTCAAGATTTGGCATGTATTAGCATATCAAAGATTTTGTCTTTAGTTTCTTTCCACTACGAACTGCTTGACGCGTTCATACCACTAAACATGCCAATAGTAAACGACGATTGTTGCTGCTGTTGCTGAATCTGTTGTTGTTGCTGCTGCTGTTGATTATTCGCTTGTCGGCCATGTTTTGGCACTGGAGGTTGAAGATATTCGTGTCTAGCTAATGTCAATACATCTATACGTTCTTCTTTCCTATATGCTAGGCAACTTCTTATGAAACTCTAGAAAAAACACCAAAGTAACGTTCAAACCTCTTTCAAACATTCTGCCAAGGGGGAACATCGCGAATTTAGATTAAAATAAATACCTTTGCTTCGTTGCTAACAGTCGGTTTATTTGCAAATTGAACTTCGGTAGCTTTCAGAATTGTATTTTCCTCTAAAATTGTAGCTTGAGATTGATTATGTCCAAAAGGCTGAAAGCAATGTAAATCTTGTAGTTTAAAATTTGGTGAGTTGATATTAGATAAATAAATAAGTAAATAAATAAATAAATAAATAAAAATAAAAAAAAAAATACGTAAATAAACTACAGTGATCAATCATACCTTTTTACCATATAGACATTGATAAAATATAACACCCACGCTCCATACATCAACTTTTGACGATATTTTGGGAGGATTTTTACCAATGACAAAACACTCCGGTGGAAGATACCTAAAAGTTTATATAGAGTAAAACAAACATACTTCTTTTCTTTTAAGTGTTATTAACGAATTCAAATGAATTGTATAAATATACATACCAATAGGTACCAGCTCCTTGAGATGTTAAATCCATCCCATGGTCTGGATTATAGTTTTCTTCGTCCATTACTTTACTTAATCCGAAGTCTGTAATTTTTATTTCTCCACAAACATTGCCTTCAGTTAGTAATATATTACCTGCGAATAACGTTAACAAACAATTGAAAATATTTAATTTTAATTGTATAAAATGAAGGTACTAGTATAATTGATACATAAACAAAATTTACCTGGTTTTAAATCATAATGTATGACTGGGGGTTTTATTTCATTGAGGTACTTTAATGCAGACACAACTTGCATAACAATAGATCTCGCTTCTCTTTCAGGTATAGTTTTATGCTGAAAACGAAAAACACTTGATAAAGTATTGCTGCAGTATAGTAAACCAATGTTAGATGTGAATACATGAATGTTATTATATTAAAGATATATCGTTATACACACCTGCTTGAGATAAAAATCTAAATCATGTCCATCACAATATTCCAAGACGGTACAAAAGGAATTGGCATCAATTTCAAACACATCGTACAACTTCACAACACGAGGATGATCGAGAGCTTTATGTATATTATATTCCCGTAACGCATGTCTGTGTAAAAAAATTTCAAAATAATCTAACAAAAGTACATTATCGTATTACAAAAATTAGATCCAACATTACGTAAATATAGAGTACAAATACTGTTCTACACATAATAGTATTGCGACACTACACTTGGAGGTTTTAATTTAAATTAATATAAATTGAATGGTTATATAGATAATATTAATTTTAAAATACTTACTTAATATAATTAGCTTTCTTATCCTCTTTCCAGTCTTTATTCAGTTGATGAACTTTACAAGCGACATATCGTTGCTCTTTTAAGTCAAATGCCTAGAAACGTGAATTACTCTTGGTTATAAATAAATAAATATCGAATATTACAAAACATTGTTTTAAATGTGTAAATTGCCGAACCTTATGCACTTCACTGAAGCCACCTTTTCCTAATAACATTAATAGAAGGTAACGTTCATTCAATACAGGATGAGAGTTAAATCTTGATTGGTCCTCGTTATGAATACGTTTCAACTCCCTGATGTGTAAATTTCGTTCCCTTTCGAGTTTTTCCATTTCTAGTTGCAGATCTGCATCTTCTTTTTTCAATGCACTTTGTCTTAACTGAAAGTTAAACGATACACGAACGAATAAAAATTATATTCACGGGATAAAAGAATCTCACAGAGATTGATAAATTCATCAACAGCTGAAGGAATATAAAATACACTACCTTGAGTATTTCGTCAGCTTCATAATACTCCTGCCATGTATAAGATCCAGGTACTGCATCCGGTTTCAAAAACGTAGCTTCCGTGCCATTGTGCAAGGAAGGTTGTGGCTGACTACGTTTTCTACCAGTTTCACTATTCGATGGCCTCTTTTTTAGTAGCAGTTTTTTTTGTTTATCAATTTCTTCTCGTTCAGTCGCAATTTCTTCTTGTCGTCGTGCTAATTCTTGAAACGCGTAACCATCCGTCCAGTTTTCTTGAAACGTCGCACCAACCCTCTGAGTCACAAATTGACCCAATCTCAGTCTATTTTGCATACACTTTTGCCTAGCCTCCTTTTTTTCTATGTTTGATTTTTCTTTCAGTAATTTCTTTACAACGTCTATACATTTATTTATATGGGATTTGTGCTGCTCAATCAGTTTCTGTTGATTAGCCATTTGATGCCTAAGTTCATCTGTCGTCTGAAACGAAGTGCAAATAGTCGTATTATTAATAATACTTCAATTTAAAATCAAACGAATTGTCGTATATTATACATAAATAATAAAAAGAATTAAATTCTTGGAAATAAATACTCATCGATAATTTTGATGAGAAAAAATTAATTGTACATATTATACTTACTCTATTCAACTCATCAATTTTGCTGTTACGTAATTCTAAATCTGAAGAGGCTTGAGTCTCAAATTCCTGTATCCTCTGGCAAGTAAGTTCTGTCTGGAATGCAATTAATATATTTTTATGATAAATATAAGCTAGTTACTGTAACATCTGATGCATTTGTCAGCATAGCTCAGAAATACCAGATACCTTGTACCATCCAAATAAAGATAAAACGAAGACTAAGTTTTCGACTCGTTACATTTCGATAGTTTGGTACGGAAAACTGTCTAAGTAAGAAATTAAGTGTAATATATGTTTTTAATAAAGTCGATACTGTATCCTATTCGATTCCAATAGGCTGACACATTGGTTACCGAAAGTAAAATTATAGGATAAAATCCAAACGTATCGATAGAAAAGAACTATTACACAGGCAGCAAGGAAAACACCAAAAATGTTCGCACAGTTTAAGGTGTGCATGTAAAAAATATGGAAAAAGGTAAAACATTGTGTATTTTACATTTTTCTTTTTGCCGGTATAGATAATGTTGTGTACGTACGTTGACTAAACTTTATAATGAAATAGAATTGTAATCGAATAAGAAAAGAAGAAACATGCACACCTGTTTTTATTTTGGCAAGTAAAATGAACTTAAAATTAAATAGCTTCGATAACTAGGAAGTAAACCAAAAATTTTGGACTAAGGAGTGATATTACAAGGTAGCCTGCACTCCTATGACAACAAATGGATACAGTGCTACAGTCCAGTCAGAAGTTAGCTGAATTTACTGCAAACATCTGACAATAAATGCCCATTATAATACTAATTTTAGAAAATGAAATATACGATGTAGATTTATGATTTACTTTTTACACAAAAAAGGAGATAAATACATTAGTAATAAAAAGTAAAATAAAATGTATACATAATATTTACAAATTATATAATTATTTCTAATGACAAGGTATTATAAAGAATTAACACTTTCGTTTTTGAACGAAATTAGTTTTAAATGTCCCTATCCTTTTGACATAGAATTTTTTCTAGATATTTGTCATTAATATTATAGCAAAATTGAACTTTTAATTTAGACTAGTCTAACTCTTATGATACCTTTTCATAGAGATATTTATATGTAATTTAAAATAATTAACTTGGTAAAAGCGAAATTATAAGATTCAATTTGCAAACTGAATGTTTTATGGGTTGTTTCTTATCAAATGTTTGCAAGAATGACCAAATTTTGCTTACATTTGGGGTGTTAGTCTTCGCTTGCCTGACCTGGCTTGTCCTACTGAGGTTGGTAGGCCTTACCTGCACCTGCTTGCTGACCATCGAGCCTGCAGGTTGTGTCGAGGCTGGTGGAGGAGGAGGTGGAGGTTGAGGAAGAGGTCTCGGTGGCTGCATCAATGAAGAGAATTCTGCCACCGAAGAATTGGGTGTTGTTACTTGCGGTGAAAGGAGTTGTTGAGGCGATGGTGGATACTGTTGACACATAATTAAAGAAAAATATTAGTAAGAATATAAAGAAAAGTTATAAAAATATCACATTGATATTTACCATGGGATAACCCTGTTGAGGAGAGGGGCTTTTAGCACCACCGTGCCGAATGGGACTACTGCCCAAATGATGCTTTGGAAAATACTCATTGATCTTTTTATTCTCGAGGGCAGCTACAGACCTGGAACCCTTACTTCCTATAGGTCCTCCCGTAATTCCTCCACCGCCATCGTCAGCTTTTCGCTTTCTTTTTCTTTCCGAAGGAGTTCTTGGTACCTTTTCCGGAGTATTCGGGTCTACCTCCTTATCACTATGCGATGAGCCTATATTTACATTAAAGATATCCCAATTGTAAACGAATATTTCAGTAACTCTCGATATACTTGTGTATAAAATTCTTATTTTCAACTATGATCAAGATATGCCGACTTACCAGTGCTCATGTTCGAATCTTGACTATGAACCGACTGACCAGAGTTTACAGTTGATTGGGGTGCCATCTGAATTTGTGACCCAGCAGACATCTGAAAGTAAGAGAGACTGATAAAAAATTAACGTTTAACATATTTTTTCATAAAAAAATATTCCAACAAAATACGAACAAACCATTACAGTACTAACGGAATTAGGCTAAATACTGCTCAAAACATCGTAATGAAAGGCAAAGATCATATTATGTACACTTATTTTGTACAATTACCAATATCGAAAAACTTAGTATCCGCTTGTTTAGAGAAACAACATGGAGAAAAGTATCGTATCGCGAATCAAGATTCGATACTTTGTAGAAGAGGTTAACACTTTGAAAATCGTACCGGCGTATAAGAAGATATTAGCCAACGAAGATCGCATGTTATTAAAAGATACGATTTACTGCAGGAAGAAACTTAAAAGGATAGAGAAAGACTAGCAACGAAAACAGAGAAGAGAAGACGAATAAAGTGCGAGTGAGAAAGAAATAGGTTTAATAAGAAATGAAAAAAGAAAGAGTGAGAGTGGAAGACAGTACAAGAGAGAACGAGAGAGAGAGAGAGAGAGAGAGAGAGAGAGAGAGAGAGAGAGA